TTGCAGGCTTTTTAAACAATTTTTTTAAGAAAAAGATCAAAATAACACTTATCCGCAAATGAAGTTGATCTTGAAACTCCATTAGGTACTTTTTATTCCCGCTCGGAAGCGGGTTTTTCGGTTGTGAAAGGGACGAGGACGGAAGCGGAAAGTGTATTTTGTGTTACGGAGGGCAACTTTCAATTTTTTCGTCCTCACACGCAGGAAAGAAAGAGGTCAACATCTATCTATCTTTATCTATTTGTCATGTAATTATTCATCCATTTTTAACCACCTATCTGTTATCTATAAAAAGCTACAGACCAATCTCCCTGTTGTGCCACCTCTACTTATTTTGAGAGACTTATTTTGCATAGAATTACGGAAAAAATAGACCCCTGTCTGCAGGGGCGGCTCGTCCATTACGCGAAGTAAGCGGTCGCAGAACACTTTTTTTGCCAGGGCGCAGAGGCGCCTCTGTAATGCCCCTCGACCGCCACTTGAGAAGCGGCCCATCAGCTCACAACAGCCCTAGCAGTCCGGGGGGAGCCTCGGCTTTCTTGCCTCGCTGCTGGGTAATCCTCTTCCCAAAGGGGCCGGGCCCTTGAGCCTCACCTAACCCCTCTCCTTCCTGCTCCACCCGGCCACCGAGTGCACGAGCAGAGCCGGCGCTCAATCGTTTTCCGCGTTCGATCCCTTTCCCATGACTGGCTCCCTTTCCTGATCCCCCGGCGCTCCACCCGCCTCCTCTCCCCAATCCGCGGGTGGGCCAAGGGGCCCACTTCAGGTCCGGAGGCGTGTCTGAAGACCCCAGCGTGTGCACCAAAAGTCGCCTCTTCTCCTGACTTTCTCTTCAGCCATTGGGACCAAGAGAGAGAGAGAGAGAGCCCCTCCGGCTGGAGGTATCTCCCACCTCCGCTCCCTCCTTTGTTTTTGCGCCTACCTTCAGGAAAGGTGGGCATCTCCACCTCTCTCTCTCTCTCTCTCTCTCTCTTGGTCCCAATGGCTGAGGAGAAAGTCAGGAGAAGAGGTGACTTTTGGTGCACACGCCGGGGTCTTCAGGCACACCTCCAGACCCAAAGCGGGCCAGGCAAGGGAGCAAGTGCAGCAAGTGTAGTTACTGGGATGTATAGTTCACCTACAATCAAAGAGCATTCTGAACTCCACCAATGATGGAATTGAACCAAATATGGCACACAGAACTCCCACGACGAACAGAAATATATATCAGTGATTGGTTGGGGGGGGGGCGCCAAAATTAGTTTGCATAGAATTATGGAAAAAATAGACCCATGTCTGATTCCACAGCAAGCTGGCTTCAGGAAAGGCAAAAGCTGCACATCACAAGTGCTGAACCTGACTCAGCACATAGAAGATGGCTTTGAAAGGCAGCAGATCACAGGAGCTGTCTTCATAGACCTGTCAGTGGCTTATGATACTGTGAACCACCGCCTCCTCCTGAGAAAAATGTATAATATCACAAAGGACTACCACCTCACCCGCCTCATAGGAAACCTGCTACAAAACAGGAGCTTTTTTGTTGAGTTCCAGGGCCAGAGAAGCAGATGGCGGAAACAGAAGAATGGCCTGCCTCAGGGGAGCGTGCTTGCTCCATCCATGTTCAACATCTACACAAATGACCAGCCACTGCCAGAAGGGACAGAGAGTTTCATCTATGCTGATGATGTGCCATTACTGCTCAAGCAGGGAGCTTTGAGATGGTAGAACAGAAGCTCTCCGAAGCTCTAGGTGCTCTTACTGCCTATTACAGGGAAAACCAGCTGATCCCCAACCCATCTAAAACACAGACATGTGCTTTTCATCTCAAGAACAGACAAGCATCCCGAGCTCTGAGGGTCACCTGGGAAGGAATCCTCCTGGAGCATTGCAGCGCACCCAAATACTTGGGAATCACTCTGGACCATGCTCTTACCTACAAGAAGCACTGCCTGAACATCAAGCAAAAAGTGGGTGCTAGAAACAATATCATATGAAAGCTGACTGGCACAACCTGGGGATCACAACCAGACATAGTGAAAACATCTGCCCTTGCACTGTGCTACTCTGCTGCTGAGTCTGCATGCCCAGTGTGGAACACGTCTCACCACGCTAAAACAGTGGATGTGGCTCTGAATGAGACATGCCGCATTATCACGGGGTGTCTGCGCCCTACACCACGGGAGAAATTACACTGCTTAGCCGGTATTGCATCACCTGACATCCGCCGGGAAGTAGCAGCCAATAGTGAAAGGACCAAGGCAGAGACATCTCCAGCTCATCCCCTGTTTGGGTATCAGCCAGCACGTCAACGACTTAAATCAAGAAATAGTTTGCTAAGAGCTTCTTCCTCCCTGCCTCCTTCATCTTCTCTTCCTCTTTCTCTTCTTTCTCCTCCGCCTCCTCTTCTACTACTTCTTTTTCTTCCCTCCCTTCATTTTCTCTTTCTCCTCTCTCCTCTTTCTTGTTTTCCTGAAGAGGAGGAGGAAAACAAGAGGAGGAGAGAGGAGAAAGAGAAAAAGAAGGAAGGGAAGAAAAAGAAGTCGTAGAAGAGGAGGCGGAGGAGAAAGATGGAAAAAGGGAGGAAGAAGAGGAGGAGAAAAGAGAGGGAGAGGAAGAAGGAGAAGGAGGGGAAGAAGAATAGGAGGAGGAAGAGAAGAGGAGGAGGAGAAGAAGTGGAAGAAGAAACTAAGACCACCAAGGAGTATGGAGGAGGAAGGAGAAGTGGAAGAAGAAGAAGACTAAGACCACAAAAGGGATGAAGAAGGAGGAGGCAGAAAAGGGAAAAGAAGTTGAAGCGGGGAGAGAAGAGGAGGAGGAGAAGAGAGGAAGAAGAGGAGGAGCAGGAAAACAAGGAAGGAGAGAGGGAGAAAGAGAAAAGAGGAGGGAGAACAACGGGCACAAGGAGGAGACAGAGGGAAGGGAAAGGCAAAGAAGGAGAGGGAAAGAGGAGAGAAAAGAGAGAAAGAGGAAAAGAGAAGGAGGGAAAGAAAGGAGGGGAGAAGAGAGGAGGAAGGAAGGAAGAAGAAGCTAATACACCAATGAAGATGGAGCGGGAAGGAATTGGAATACAGAAGAAGACTAAGACCACAAAGGAGAATGAAGAAGGAGGAGGCAGAAAAGGGAAAAGAAGTTGAAGCGGGGAGAGAAGAATAGAATGAGGACCAAGAAGAGGAGAGGAAGAAGAGGAGGAGCAGGAAAACAAGAAGGAGGAGAGAGGAGAAAGAGAAAAAGAAGGAAGGGAAGAAAAAGTAGTAGAAGAGGAGGAGGAGAAAGAAGAGAAGGAGGAAGAGAAGATGGAGGAAGGGAGGAGGAGGAGGAGGAGAAAAGAGAGGGAGAGAAAGAAGAATGAGGGGAAAAAGAATAGGAAGCGATAGAGAAGAGGAGGAGAAGAAGTGGAAGAAGAAGACTAAGACCACAAAGGAGGATGAAGAAGGAGGAGGCAGAAAAGGGAAAAGAAGTATCGAATGAGGAGCAAGAAGAGGAGAGGAAGAAGAGGAGGAGCAGGAAAACACGGAGGAGAGTATATACTAATGTAATAATTACTATAATATAATAAATTATATAATAACAATGCAATAAACATATTTATAATAAGATAATATAGTCATAATAATATATAATATAATACAATATTAAATACAATTATAATATTATGGCACAATAATGTAATATATTAATAAATATCATTAATAATAAATATAATATAATATACTAATGTTTATATACTAATGTAATAATTACTATAATATAATAAATTATATAATAACAATGCCATAAACATATTTCTAATAATATAATACAGTCATAATAATAAATATATAATATAATATAATATTAAATACAATTATAATATGACTATGGCACAATAATGTAATATAATAATAAATATTATAACAATAAATATAATATAATAATTCAATCATATTATTATATCATAATATTATTATATAATAGTATTGTTTTACAAATAGTTATTATATTATATTTGGATTATAATATAATATATTATATTATAATATAATATAATACTATTATACAATAATATAATTATTATATAATAATATGATTGCATTATTATATTATATTTAATTATTATATTATATTATATTATATTATATTATATTATATTATTATTATATTAATTATTATTATTATTATTATTATTATTATTATTATTGCATTACCTGGAGGACACGATCGGCAACACTTCTTGATGGCTTCAACATAATGCTCCGTTTGTGGGTTTCGGCATTGGTGCGGGGATTGCGGCACGTACGGCTCGGCGGCCGCCTACAAGAATGGAAAGGGAAGAAAGCACGGATAGCAAAAGACACCCATCCAATCCGACGGCATTCTGGTATGCAGGAAAGCACTATCCGACCCCTCCCAACAGATGACCATCTGGTCTCAACTTTAAAGACTCTAGAAAAGGTAGATAGATATGAAGACAGAAAAATAGAAAGCTAGAGGCACAGAAAAAAAGGAAGGAAGATCGAATCCTAGAGTAGGAAGGGGCCCCAAAGGCCATCCAGTCCACCCTATAAGAGAAGGTAGATAGATAGATCAATACATGGATGGAGGGAGAGATGGATGGATAGATAGATAGATGAGTGGGTGGATGGGTAGGTAGGTAGGTAGATAGATAGACAGATGGGTAGATAGATGGATGGATGGATGGATTGATGGATGGATAGAGAGATAGATAGATAGATAGACAGACAGATAGAGAGATAG